ATTATTTTAAGAACTTGATTATTGGTGCTGCACAAATGGATGATGTTATTTTGGTATTTGTCACTTTTTTTTAGTTTTGTCACTTTTTTTGAGTTTGTGTCACTTTTTTTAAAAAAAATTAAAAAGTAACATTTTTTTATAAAAAAAGTGACATTTTACTTTTTCATTTTACACAGTATTTTTTACTTCTTAAAAACTTTTCATATGATTTTTTAAAATATCCCTAATTTTAAAGGTATTTTTGTAAGTACCCTTTTGGCGAGCGGCTCAAATAGTCAACCACTGTTAAACAAGCCGCTTGAGATCTAGTCAATGAATAAATCGTCCTACTTAACACCTTCATCATAGTCTATGAACTAAGAAAACACTCAATATTAGTCTTCTTTATCTGCCACATGCCCAAACATCGCCACATGCCCAAAAATCGGAAATTACTACAATACTGAAAAAGAAATCCAAAAATACTGTATTCAAGACTTTCCTTTTTTTTCAACATGGAATTGAAATTGTCAACGCACAATCGAAACGAATGGAACTAATTGAAAAGGCTGAATTCATGGGAATTCAAATTCAAATCAAGACATAGGAGCAGCAATGGCGACATTGAATCCGTCCTCAAGTGGGATATAAAATCCAAAACCATGTTGCATACATATGAGAAAAATTCAAATGAGCAGTCAACATAAATAGCGTAAAATACACACCGTGATGTGTGTATATGCGTAATGTAACCTAACTATGATGCATATCAAATGTGAGATTTCACAAGCGTGTCTGAGAATGCAATTGTGTAATACATATCGAAATACAGAGATGTGTATAGTAACCAACATGTTGGAAACATGTCAATTATACTTTCTGGATGTGTATATATTTAATAAGATGTAAATGACTATACTTTCATGAGATTGATAGCGTGTAATACAAACAGTAAGGGTCCGTTTGATTGCTAATAGCGGCTTATTTGGCTTTCCAGCATTTTTCAATAGCCGGCAGTTTGAGGAAAGCATTCGATCAAGGTTCAATCATAGCCACCTTAGCCACAATCTGTATTGTTGTTGTCCCGTGCTTGTTGTTGATCTAACTAATGATTTTTAAGAACGATAGTTTTACTCATTTTCTGTAAATTATTGAACTCATTTGTACTGCATTTTAGATTAATGAATGTGAAGCAATTTACTTGAGACCGTTTGCTCGAGTATCAACTTGATCTAACTGTTGTACAGATAAATATTGTGCAACAGCTAATCTTATAATTTACTTTTATAGTCCTACCATAATAAATGTTATAGCAGGATTTTGGGGGTGGCCCTGCCAATGTCCTCTGTCCAAGAATTTTAGCATATTTTGCTCAAAGTGGACACCATTTATTTGCTAATTTCATAAAGCGAAGTGCCACAATTTGCAGTACGAGTCAATACAAACGATATTGATAAACCAACAAGAATAAATAAAATCCACACAATCCAACATCCATAAATTCGATGCTATGCAAACCGAGGCAAGTGTGTTCAACATTATGTCTTTAAGCTGCAACGGTGCTAATGGAGTCTTAGCAATCGTCTCAAAATATACAATGGTTCCTCCTTGTAGTAGAACTTGCAGTAGAAGCACTTCAAACTTTAAGGTAACGACAAACTTGAAACATAATTTTCTTTCTACTAAAACAATGATTTTTGATCTAAGAAAACAATGTTTTCGAAGTGTTTTGATGCAAAGCAATCAATGAAAATGATATGGAATGATTTTGAACCATCAAAGGTATCCAATTTATAGAACATGAGGGATTGTGGTAGGAGAGACGCGCCCTAAAATTCAACATGTTTCATGAAGAGACACAACCCTTTAGGTTGCTCACGGCCGCCTACATGCTGCTCAAGCACCCATAGCAATAACACCATTGCTCACTACGCACTAGGCAGCCGCTTGAGCGGCAGTTCTATACGAGCAAAATTTAATTTTTCCTTGTATCTTGGTACGACAAATTTTCATTCACTCGAAATTGGTTTTGAGATTCCAAATATACTACAATCATCTACTCAACGAGTTAAACAAGTTAGTAATTACATATGTAAGCCAACATGACAAATTAATAAACCCAACAATCTCCCTTATAAATGTGTATAACTTTATGACGTCAAAACTCTTGCTATCATAATCAAAAGTATCTCCTTCATACTACTATGTGCTAACTGAGAGAGACTCCAGAACTGTCACACACATTGAGCTCGACGAAGTAACAGGGCTTTGTACTTTTTCTTTGTATTCAGGCCGAGTATTCATAAATTGCATTCAAGGACCTTAAACTTTTGGTTCAAAACCTATTGAATATTTGGTCGAAGTTGATACGAAATCAACTTTTATTGATTTTACTTAACCAAATTCCAACAGATTCTTCTAGTGGGAATCAAATAATGGCTAGGGAATAAATAGCTTTGATGAATACGACGAGCTATTAATCATGTTAAACTCAAATACCATATATGTAGACCACTTTCATGGCACGTCTCTTCTTCGTTATTCCTAGTAGGATATTCTCTTGATCTACATAATCTAAGTACTTAGTTCAGCAAAGTTCTCCAATTTGTTCATTGATCTAATTAGAATTTTCCTTTTGTGGTTTGTGAATTATTATACTCGAGTAAGGCTAGTGGACAGCCACATGTGCTAACTTGCTTCCTCATACATAGGGCGTTCAGCAGAGTTCAAACCTTCTTAAGTTTGTCGAACTATTTCTTGCTCCCTCAAGTTTGAAGTTCTAAATCGTTTTATAATTGGTGAGCTTTTAAGGCAGTAAATAGCTCATTCTTGTTTAAGAAGTCAAAATTGTAGATGCAAGATTCAG